TTTCTGCCACCTTTGCGGAGCAAGGGTGGCGAGCACGCCCCAGCGCGTTGCTCGAGGGTGGTCTGGGCGCCGATCCACGGCGCCGTCTGCCCTCGGTGGGCTTTCCGCTAATTGAAATCCCAAGCACATTCCACGGCAACAGCAGCGCGCCCGTGAGCCAAGCCTGGGTCGCCGCAGCCCCCCTCGCAGCAATGGGTGGGTCGTCACGAACACCTGGAAACGCGCCTGCCCAACGCGAGCCGCGGCCGCGCTGACCCGGCACCAAACCAACGGAGCCGCTGCCATGCCGCAGCAGAGGCGCCTGAAGACGGCCCAACCCTCCAAGGTGCGAGTGGCCATGATCTCCCCGTCTCTCGGACGTCAATTCCCCGTGTGTTTGTCGGTTTCGTGCGTGGCTCTTTCGCAGGATGATCCAGGATGCTCCTTAATCCCTGCCGAGAAGAAGCGCACGCGTCCGAGCGATACCAAGTGATGCCGCGGTCAACCTCGCGGATCGCCAACATGTGGAACGCGTCTTCGAAGTCCACCACGCACACCTCGTAGCAGGCGTCCGTGGCCTGGTCGTCCACGGCCATGAGGTCGACGATCCCGTCGATGAGGTCTGACAAGCGTGGCAAAACCACGCGCTCTGGGAGGTCGACGAAGCCGTTCCCCCCCGACCGCAGGTGGTCGATGATTAGCCTGACTTTCGTGGTGCCGTCGTCCCGAACCTTCGTGAGGAGCGCAACTTTGCTAGCAACGACCGTCGGCCAACGAGCCACGACCTGCTCCCACGAAGGGAAGAGCTCGACGAAAGCCTCGTCCGCGATGCGTTTGATCTCCGCCGCGGCGAAGGACCCGTTGTCCGCGTGACGTAGTTCTTGCGGAACTCGTGCCGCCACTCCCTCCGGTCCCGGATGCGCGCGAACTCCTGGGAGGATTGGATGGCGGCCGAGGCGCCCTCCGATGGGAGAAAATGCCGCACGCTTTGATGGTTGACTCGCCAATGCCAGTCGGGCATCCGTCGCGGAGCCACCCGGGCACTGCCGTCTCGGGATCTTCGGCGTGCTGGAAGAGGCGGTCCCAAAGACGGTGGTCGAACTGCTCGCCCTGCTGCTCCTCGGAGTTCTGGCCAGCAAGCGCAATCCCAAAGGGCCTCCCTGACTAAGCCCCGGGTGTAGTCCAGGAGCTTCGCCGAGAAGCTGGACGAGCCCCCAGTCCCCAAGCGAGCGGCTACCCCGACGACCTCTGATCGGTTCCTCGCCTGGGCGCCAACGTGCTCGAGCAACGCGCACACCTTGCTGCCGGTGCGGCGCAGGGCGGGCGATCGCGCATCTGCGCGGCTCGGGTTCCGGAGGCCTCCAACCGCATCCGAATTCGCACGCTCCCGATCCCCCCGTCTGGCTGGCCCTGGAAGAACTGGGACTCCATCGGGGGGTCGGCGTCCGTCTCGGCACGGGGGCCCTCCTGCAAAGGGGATGGGCTGGCATTCCCCGAATCGCTGCCAAGGGGGCCCTGGCCCGGCGCCAGATGAGCACATAGTCAACGTGCTCCCTGGCACTCTTCGGAGGAATTGCGATGGGGTAGCAAGCACCTCTGGCAGACATGGGCCCGACGCTCCAGGCGCGGAGTCGGACAAGCGTCGCGACCGCCCTGGGCGTACCAGAAGCAGATGTTCTGCCCCTCGCGCGTGGTGTAATAGAGGCCACGCTTGTTCTTCTTGGGGTGCGCGCCCTTGTCCTTGCCACGGTCCTTTCCTGTGCCGCCGCCCTTGGAGGTCCGCGGCGGCCCTCCTCTGCCTGGCGAGCCGGCGCCTCTTGCCACGCGATGGCTGCGGCGCACCTCCGGCATGGTCCGCGTCGTCGTCGTCCTCATCCTCTTCCTCCTCTTCCTTGTCGGCATTGCGCTTCGCACCCCTCGCCAGGAAGCCGAGCGCAGGTCGACGAACGTGTCGGTCCCAGTAGCGGTCGTCGCGGGCACAAGCGATGAGGGCCTCCGATCACGTGACTGGGCGGCCAGTCTCCTCGCACAGCTGGCACGCGACTCGCAGCAGATGCTCGGCGCGGCACTGGTCCTCCGCACGCTGGCAGAGGTGCCAGCACTCCGGGCCTCCAAGTAGGTCTCGGAATCGATGGGGGTGAGGACATCCTGCGGCTCGCCGCCCGGCGCCGTCGGGGGAAAGCGCAGCATGAACATGATGACCTCCCAAACGGCGTAACAAGACTCCCACACAACCAGGGAACCGGGGCCTCGTGCATCGAACGGCTGGCACGTGCCGTCCTGTTGAAAGACCCAGCTCCGGTGGCGGAGGCATTTCGCCATATGCCGGCTGGTGGGCGTGAGCACCGAGAAGTCTGCGTACGGCTCCAGGACGACAACGCGGGTGTGCATCACCGCGATCTGGTCGTCGGTCGGCTCCTTGTCTGGGAGCGGGGGGCCACGCTTGATGCTCTTGTAGTTGCGGCCCCACTGCTCGACGTCCGCGGGATCCGCACCTGGGCACCTCCGTCTCGTCGAGCGG